GATTTCTGACCAGAAATGTAGAGTAAATCACATATACATGCAATGCTAGACACAGCTGGTGACGGAGTATGGCCTCACGATGCAGGTAAGCGTGGTAGTAGTGTTGGTGACGGAGTATGGCCTCACGATTCAGGTAAGCGTGGTAGTAGTGTTGGTGACGGAGTATGGCCTCACGATTCAGGTAAGCGTGGTAGTAGTGTTGGTGACGGAGTATGGCCTCACGATCCAGGTAAGCGTGGTAGTAGTGTTGGTGACGGAGTATGGCCTCACGATTCAGGTAAGCGTGGTAGTAGTGTTGGTGACGGAGTATGGCCTCACGATTCAGGTAAGCGTGGTAGTAGTGTTGGTGACGGAGTATGGCCTCACGATCCAGGTAAGCGTGATAGTAGTGTTGGTGGCGACGTGTAGGTAAGCTTGACAGTGGCGGTGAAGGAACGACCAAATTTACAAGTACGCTGTGACTAAATTGATGTTGAAAGCATACAAATGATGATTATATATTGAGAATACAAAGCCTTTCTAACCACATGATAAATAACTCCAGGACGATAGCTGGTGACGTATGTTGCACCTTCTCAAACGATACCTAGGGAAGTTCGCTGGAACGCTTGTATCAGGATGTACTGGGTAAGGATGATATTAGTTCAATTTCAAAATATATTCAAATTATCTTTTTGGAATATGTACCGATATTTATTGGACGTTTAAATGTTATTATTGTCAGTATTTACTTTCGCTTGTCTCTGCATTTCTTGTAGATTCTTATTTTTCTAATATTGCTTAATTCTTACTTCTAGTTGACATTTACAAATACCAGGATACTCACAAATCTAAAGGATTAGAGCGAGCATCGTTGTGCTGAATACATAACACTTTTTAATTATCATTGGCACTTGAGAGATATCAATATCTTAAGACATTATCTGAATTAATTGCAAGCATTCTCGAATCTTGGTGTTTACCATCGTCGGATACCCACGGTTGACTTCGCTTCGGTACTCACTTATCGTGATGGGTGTTTACATAATGATGAACGCAGGCAATCACTTGCCTCTATGTTAGATTATAAGACTTGTAGCTAGCTATGTAGGTGATTAAATTTTAGTTCAAGATGTTTCCAATGATTGCCTAAACTAATTTTTAAGTCTTTACTTGTTGTAGCCTGTATGTACAAGAATCAAACGGTCTGTAGCCAAATGAATGTTTCCTATGATATCTAATTTACATATTTTTTGTGTATGCCCTCTTGTTCTAGATGTTGAATCTTGATCAAAGATGCCAGCAGTAACTTCGTTGTCGTGAAAAATATTCAAAATTGTATAGACGTTAATGATACCACCCCTCATTCTTCGGTAGGCCAGTGTTGGGAATCCTTACCACCTTAAGACGGTCGCTGTAGGAAAGATACTTCAGCCTATGTATTAATGATTGTTTTAATTGAACGAGGTTTTTTTTCTTGCAGTGTATAAACAGGAGGGTCAGAAAACAACTTACCAAAGGATAACTGTTTGGGATCTTAATGGTGCTCGTTTATTTCATTTTCTGTGATCTACTTGATGAACCATTGACGGCACAAGGCCTTTTGAAGTTTTCACAACAAGATAAACAAAACATACCGAAACCATTCTTGGTCAGAGAGGTGACGAGTAAGCAGCACACTGCGAAAAGCACCGTTATCATTGTGATAAGTAAAGTGTCTAATTATCTACAACAAGAAACTATACGCAAAACATGATGGAAATCAACAATGCAAATGGAATATAATTTCAGTCTGTATTTTCTCATCGGCAGAGACGTAGCTTATAACCAGGACGACGACAGAGAGGTCCATGACGATACTATACAGGTGGACGTCATTAAGAACTATTACCATCTAACCGACAAAACCGTGGCAGCCTTTAACTGGGTGACACATTTCTGCCGTGAAGCAAGTTACTTTTTCAAAGTCGACGATGATGTATACCTAGACCTGGACGCTCTTAGAGTACTACAAAACAAGGCGGACTATCTCCCAAATGATGTCATACTTGGTTCCTGTTTCAACAAACGCTCTCCTCACAGAATTTCCACCAAGTGGAAAGTTTCCTACGAGGAATATCCCTTTAAAACCTATCCGCCATATTGTTCCGGTCCCGCGTATGCCATGACGCTACCAACGGCTTTAAAGATACACCAGGAGATGAGAACTACGCGGTCAATTAAACTAGAAGACATTTATATCGCAATCATTGTTTACAGGTTGGGAATGTCGGTAAAAAGTGAAGATGATTTTGTTTATGATGTAAACCCTTTTATGTTTGATTACTGGCTACTTAAAGATTTCTATATCCGATGTCATAAGGTTATACATTATATAACACCCGACACTGTCCAAGAATTATGGGATAAAAAGGACACGATAGGCAGTAATAAAAATGACTGTTCTTCGTGGGGGAAAGCAAAATATTTATTATCCTACTTTTTGTAAATTTAAGGTTTAATATGCATTTTGAATTTGTACAATTTGTTTTGTCCTGCAAATATTATAACACTATATGACATGACAATAACAAATACGCATGCTACATTTTGCATTTTATACCATGAATGTAATAGGTAACAACCACTCTATCTATGGTTTCTTTGCAAACCTCAAACCATCACCGTTCTTTTCTTTTTCATTTCTTTTATTCTTGTTTCTGTTATCATGTTAAATAATCATATTCTTTAACCATATCTGTTATGTAAACATGTCTTTTAGAAGTTTTAATAAACAATTACTAATTTTCCAATGTTATATATAAACTTAAGTTTGTTGCATTATATTTATGAAACAAGTTTTTACAGCTTATACGTATCACTCTTGTTGGCCCGGATCTAAGCGGGCGGGGAGAAACCCGGAGTACCCGGAGAAAACACACGTGATCGGGCAGGTGACCCCATTCCTCTTCACGTCCGATCGGTGAACCGAACCCCGGCCGCCTTAATGAAAGGCAAGTGCGCTATCCACTGCGCCACCCGACCACCATGTTTTGCTATCAATAGAAATTACCTGACGTAACAACAAGGTGGCTACAGTTCATACAGTATATAATTTATTTGGCTAACAGAACAATCCGCATCATGCGGTCTCAAGTCAGAAAATAATTCATACGTGTTGAAAAATACCTCCTAATTAAACAGGATAACTTGTTTTATTCCGTACAATACCACACTTCCTACCTAAATAAAGGGACATTTTCGTTCTCTCATTTGAGAGACGAACGCCGATACAAATAAGTGTCTGTGAACAATTCACAGAGAATAAGGAGTGGTAACAAAACAGTAATTCGAATCTAAGTTCGGAAAAGTAGGACACAATATAAAACAAGAACATATTTACATGGGGACTCCTAAAAAAAATCGAGGGAATAAGACCAGTTGTTCCGGAAGGATAAGCGTTTTATACTTCATTGACGAAATTAGCCATGTACATCTAGGTCAAATTCAACTGATTTCAAGTCCTCACATCGAAACTAGGGTTGTTACAACAAGAAACAGCAATGCACCCTAAATGAGCATAAATAAAAACAATGATCCGCGACCATCATATCACACACATTATAGCCTATTTCCAATTGTACATCATAATGCCGGCCATAAAACTTGTCCGTAGTCTTCATATGTTTGATAGAGTTTAACGACCTTTCAACAACTCATTTAACGACGTGCACATGATTGGAAACCCTGTGTTGAAAGTTGTTAATTAGCAGTTGACATCAATCATTTAGTTCTTGCGTACGAATCAACTGCGACCTGTAAACACCGTAGAAATCCCTTGCATATTTACGAAATATACGTCGGGAGGAAATGGAATGAGCGAATTTCTGTAAATGATATTTTGTAAAGTTCTAAACAAAATCCAGCAGACAGTTGGCTTACCACTGAGCACAAGTCCTTTAATTTCACATCCAGATATATCGACGATGTGTTGCATTAAAGAAATTACGAATACAATTGGCATTTTAGTTTTTTCAAAGGGACGTATGTATGATATGACCTTCGATGTTTTTTGTTTTGCCTATTTGGGCATTTTCTCGCTTTGTGGACGTGAGATTAGTACATGGCGGGTACCGTCAATGAAGCAAAAGCGCTCACCACTAGGGAACCAAAGTCTTATGACCTACAGCTAAATCTTCATTTATTCATATTGTACCATTGTTTAATCAAATTTGAGTTCAAATTACGATTTTGCTCATAATTCAGTATTTTCTTGTTTATTTTATTTTACTTTATTATTTGTAATGACTAGAAATATATTTACCACGCGTTCACCCCCTCCCTTTTTAGAAATCAATGACACTATAGACTCTTATATCGATCTTTACATTTAACATGTCAATCATAGAGACGGCTTCCTATTAAAATGTATGGTTATCGAATTTCCTGTATTGAACTTGACATTTCTTGGTAGTAGCATCTCCAACTTATCGTTTTACTTGTCGCAGTAGATTCATGGACTTGCCCGTACCACAATTTCCGTAATAGATGTCTGATAGATATGTTTTAGGACAAACTTAAAACACATGGTTCGGAGAGACACAGATTGATGAAAACTATATGCAAGAATTATGGGCAACATCATGACCTTTTTGTGAAAATTTCGACGATTTTATTATGATTATTAGTTTGTCTTGCATTGGGCAAACATTTACCAGGTCTTCATCAGCAACGACGGGTTACAGTTTTCATTATTCCCAAATCAGACATAGAACAGCAGTTTAGTTACCTAATTATTAGTTGAATGAGGAACAGTCAAAATTGTTGTTTGGAGATACCTAGGACGAATTGAAGAACGACCAAGGGCAACACT